CCTACTTCTGTAGTGATACTGCCTCGGAAACCCAAGGAGGGGTCGCTATGAGTCGGGGCCGACTTGATGGCAAATTAACAACAACAGCAACAGAGAATTAATATTGTTACCAGACAAATCTGGGCTTCATCGCTTACCTGCTATGTGACCTTGGGCAAGTCACTTAAGCTCTCTGAGCCTCAGCTTCCTCCTCTGTAAAATGGAAACGATTGTAATTTCAATGTCTCCAGGCAACTGGGCAGAACTGGGGAAGAATCTCCGTGGGGCCTTTTGCACAGCGCAGGGCACTCAGATGACAGGCCAGGAAAACCTTCCCTCCTCATCTTGACTTGCCCCTTTCCACGGCAACACTCTGGAGAGAGGGGCCTCAGCTGAAGGCCTGCCCTGCATCCCCTCGCTCCCTTCACCTAAGATCCCAGGCTGCTGGGCGCCATGCAGCTCCTGCAGGGCCCAGAGAGGGCAAGGCTCTGTCCACAATCACACAGCAAGTCGGTGGCAGTGTATAGGCCTGTTTTTCTGAACCCTGGTCCCTGGAGTTAGGTTCATCTGGCTCAGATCCTGGCTCAGATCCTGACTGCTGTGTGGTCTTAAGTGAGTGACTTAGCCTCTCTGAGCTTCAGTTTCCTGCAAAGTCGGGGTAACGATGTTACGATCATTAGTTGCTGCCCAGTTGCCTCTAACTGACGGTGACCTTATGAATAACAGTGAAACGTCCGGTCCTGTCCCATCTTCATGATCATTGGCGTGTCCCAGTCCCACCTCACATATGCTGACCTTCTCCTTTAATGAGCATAACGTCTTTTTTACTGATTGATCTTTCCTCGTGACGTGTCCAACGTAAGCAGGTCGAAATCTCACCATATTCCCTTCTAAGGAACATTCTGGTTATATTTCTACAACCAGAATAACAGTACCGGCCTTAAAGGGCTGTTGCAAGAATGGTATACAAGGAGATGGTATGGGGCTGGGAGGTGCGGGCAGGGAGGGTGAGAGTGTCTGGGTGGGCCTGGCCCTGCTCAGCAGGCTCTCCACGCCCTCCACGCCCTCTCCCCCAACACCCCACTTCGACTTCGCAGCCCTGTCTGAGAGGAGCCAGCCGCCAGGCTCCTGCTGAGTGCTGGCCACAAACCTAGGCATGTCTGGGGTATGGCAGGTGTGATACGTGCCCTAGGTACCACTTGAAGCGGGGGCGCCACTGAGCAGATTCTGTTAACCATCAGTTTCTATGGCCGGCTGTGAGAGAGCATTTCAGTGAGTTACAACTAATACTTTCATACTGGAGAGCCTCCCTGGGTCAAAGCCAAGTGTGTGGTCTTACTCTGCTGATGTAGGAAGAGAAGAAAGTGAAATAATGACGTGGAGCCCATCACAGGCCAGTTTCAGCAGTGAAAGCAAGGAAGATGTGGTTGTCATTTTCATGTAGTGCCATGACGTCTTAAGTAAAAGATGAATGAGCTTGACTTGTATTTCTGGGCTATATTACGATACAGTTCTCTTAAAGGATGGGTGTCAGATGTTTGGCCCAGGGACAGTTCCAGTGTTTGCCATAAATGCTGTTTTCTGTAGATATGCCTCTGCCCACAGTGTGTCGTGTTTCATCCTCAAACACTTCTCCGAGGGCAGGATTCTGGTAACTCCTGTTTCCCTGATGAAGCCCTGCTGGCTGCTTGTACCACCAAGTGCCTTCTCCCAAGGGAGGCCTCAGCCCAGCGGAGGGAGGTCCTGTGGGGCTGGAGGAGACGGATGACATGGTTGTCACTTTAAGTCCTTCCCCTCTCTTCTGTTGCCCGCAGCTCCCTATCTCTCTAGATCCATCGTGGGGAAAGGAAGAAAGAGAAGCATTGTTGTTATGTGCCGTTGAGTGGGCCCCAACTTATAGCAACCCTTCCTTGGGTTTCTGAGGCAGTATCACTATAGAAGTAGATTGCCCAATCTTCCTTCCGAGGAGTGGCTGGTGGGTTTGAACCACCGGCCTTCTGGTTAGCAGTCAAGTGCCTTAGGCATTATGCCACCAGAGCTCCTAAGAGAAGGGTAGCCTGTCCTCCATCCTGAAAACAAAATAAAAACAAACCCACTGCTGCTGAGTCACTTCCAATTCATGGCGACCCCATGTGTGAGTAGAGCTGCTTCATAGCATTTCCTTGGCCGGGCCTGTGTTCCGCAGCACCACTGAGAGGGTTTGAACTGCCAACCTCTAGATTAGCAGCTGATTGCAAATTGCTTGCCCCGCCCAGGCTCCTTCACCCTGGATAAATCGGCGTAGCTTTCATGAATCCCTGTCTCCCACCGCATGCATGAGGCCTGGAAGCTGGTCACTCGGCCTGGGAGTGGAAAGTCTGGCTGGCCTGAGCAGGCTCCAGCCACCCGGTCTCCCTGGTGACTGCTGTGGGCTGTCTCCGTCCCCCCCCCCCCCCGGCCCACGACCTCCCAGCACCGACTGTCACGGCCTGGAACAATAAAATGGTGCACTGGGGAGACTGGAGAGGGGAGGCAGAGCCGGGGTTGGCTGTGCCTTCCTGCCCCTTCACCTGGCACCCCTGGCCCAGGTGGGTGCAGGGGTTCCAGGGTGCACTCTGGAGCCCTGGCCGGCTTCCCTGGCTGAGCCCTCCTGGGTCACTTTGCTGCTCTTCCTCTTCTTGTTTTGTGACAGCTTTGTTGAGATATTACATGCATACAACTCACCCACTTAAAGTGTACAAGTCAATAGTTTTCAGTATATTCAGAATTGTGCAACCATAGTTCATTTTAGCGAATTTTCATCACCCCAGAAAGAAACCCCGTATCCACTGGCAGTCATTCCCAACGCCCTCCCCAGCCCATGACAACAGCTAATCTGCTATCTGTCTCTAAGGATTTGCTTATTTGGGACACTTCATTTAAATGGAATCGGACAATCCATGATCTTTGGTGATTGGCTTCTCTCACCGAGCGGCAATGTTCTCAAGGTTCCGTGTTCTAGCAGGAATCGGCCCTTTGTTCCTCTTTATGGCCCAATAGCATGGCACCGTAAGGACACACCAGTCCATCCATTCATCACTTGATCGGGCTGTTTTCCCTTGTTGACTATTATGAATCCTACCACTGTGAACATTTGTGTCCATAAGTTTCCGTTTTCTTTTCTCCAAAATGGAGATTAAAGATGCCAAACAGTCCATTTCCACCTCTTGGGGTAACTCCACAGCGGAGGGCTGAGAGGCTGTAACGGTGATTATCGCTCTCCTGAGGGGGGCTGGGCCCTGGGGCTCTGAGCTCTTCTGGCAGCTTGGAGGCGTTACCAGGAGGGGGGCTGCCTGCCTTTCCACAGCGATGGCAGCACAGGCTCACCCCCTGGGCCCGGAGGTGGCCCATTGCTCCAGTAAGGGGGGTAGGCTGGGTGACCCTGGGTTCTTGCAGCCCTGCCGGGCCATGTTTGGGGCTCTCTGAGTTCTGGAGTCCTGAGGAGACTTGAAGTCCTCCCTGGAAGCTGCAGGCTTAAAGTGAGGGGCAGGGGGACTGCCGGACCGACACAGGTAGGAGCTCAGCATGCTTAGATGTGATGTGGGGGCATGGAGGGATGGGGACAGGGAGGCAGAAGCCTGTCCCCTACCCCTCTGCACTAGGAAGCCTCTTCAGATCCCCAAGCTCAGCCAAGCCTCGCCGCCTTTTTTGCAGATGAAGAAACAAAGGCCAATGGAAGAGCTATCCAAGGTTCCACCCACTGCCCTCAAGTCCATTCTGATTCCGACCCACAGTGCCCCTAGAGGACAGAGTGGAACTGCCCCACAGAGTTTCCAAGGCTGTCAGTCTTCACAGAAGCAAAGCCCAAACCACACCCACTGCCATGGAGTTGATTCTGACCCACAGCGCCCCTAGAGGACAGAGTGGAACTGCCCACAGGGTCTCCAAGGCTGTCAATCTTCACAGAAGCAAAGCCCAAACCAAACCCACTGCCGTGGAGTCGATTCTGACCCACAGCACCCCTACAGGACAGAGTGAAACAAGGCTGTGGTCTTTAAGGAAGCAGACTGAGTCATCTTGCTCCCATGGAGTGGCTGGTGGGTTTGAACCTCTGACCTTTCAGCTCACAGCTGAGTACTTAACCACTAACTGAGCCTCTGGTTCCTTTATTCAAGGTCAGCAGCTAATAAGTGACGGAGCTGGAGGAGAGCTTGTGGTCCAGGGCTGCTTCCCTGCCCCACTGTGGTGGGCCAGCTGGCCAGGCTCGGTGGACAGCCTGGCCTGGTACAGAAACTGTCCTCCCCAGGACTTCACAGCAGCACCTCTTGGGGTTCAGGGCTTGCCAGTCCCCAAAAGGAAGGGAGACTATGTTCTTTTCCTCAGCAGGGGACCACCATGCATGAATTCTCCCAAGGTCATCCAGGCACCAAGTGCTCCAGGCAGGGGTTTCTATTAATTGGTATTGATAGTAGCAAGTGGGGGATCTACCGGGTGCCCGGGGCTGACACACACACTAAATCATCGGACCCCCAGCAAACTTGTGTGGTAAATATCAACCTTATTTTGGAGACGAGGAAACTGAGCTAAGGAAAATACTCCCAAGGGTTCATCCTGGGCTGGCCCTGTTCTATGAACTATGAACCACTGTGCTCATTTTGCAGAGCAGGAAGCTCAGACAAATTCTAAAGCGGTAACCAAGACCACATAGCTAGTAAGCACAGAAGCCAGGATTCAAACCCAAGCTGCCTGGAGCCCGCACTGTCGCACACTGTGTGCGAGCTGTTGAGTGGCTTCCTTGAGGTCATCAAGTTACAGGGGACAAAGCTGAGATTCAAACCTGGGTCTGTTGGATTTGAAACAGCTGCCACCTGTGCTGAAGCACACTTTAGACCACCCTCTGGCCACCCCACCGCCCAGGCCTCCACAGGGACAGAATTGCAGTGGAAGGACTCAGAGGTCCTAGAACCCTTCGGCCTTTCTAGTGAAGACACTGAGACCCCAGAAGGGGCTGGGAGTCCCCCAGCCCAGACCAGACTCACCCGTGCCTCTCTCTCCCCCTCCAGACGGAGCCCGTGGCTGGTGAGGCTGCCGAGCAGGGCCAGGCTGGGCCCTGCCCGCAAAGACGCCCAAGCCCTTCACCGGCCCCTGCGCCCGGGAGCCCTCCAGGCTCTCCTGCCTGCCCCGCCATGACATCGGAGCCCACGTCGCCCCCAGTTGTGCCCCCACTCCACTCCCCCAAGTCTCCCGTCTGGCCTACCTTCCCCTTCCACCGAGAAGGCAGCAGGGTCTGGGAGCGGGGCGGTGTCGCATCTCGGGACCTGCCCAGCCCTCTGCCCACCAAACGGACCAGGACATATTCAGCGTGAGTACCTGCCCCTCATCCAGGACAGGGCTCCAGCCAGGCTGCCCACCCCATCCTCCCAGCCCTGGGAAGAACTCAGGTCTCATCCAAGGACAGGGAGCTGTCTGTGCAGTGCCAGGAACTGCAAATGTTCATTCATTCATTCATTCCACAAAGCTTTGAGCTCCTGATCAGGGATCCAGTGATGAATAAGACAAAGTCCAGCCCACCAGCTGCCTATAATCAAGGCAATTTCCTCACCATCCATCACCACCAGCAGGGTTAGGGTGAGAACCCAGCCTGGGGGGTTTAGAGATGATGTATCAAATGAAGTGATGAGTAGAATACCCTGTGTCATGAGGTAGTGAGAGCCCCATTTTGGGAGGTAATCAAGTCTAAGTTAGACATCCTTTGCTCAGAGATCTTGCAACAGGACTCCATTTACGCCTGGACAAACTGCGGAGGGGAGGGTGCTATGCAGAAAGGCTGAGAGCTGGAGACTTCCCTTGCAGTGTGACCCTGGGAGATCCAACAGGCCTCCATCTCCTTGTCTGTTGAATGAGGACGATGGGAGGACTGAGTGGGTGGTAACAGTGTGTGGTTTCTGACCTGGGAGGGGTCCCAGCAGCCCTGAGGTGGGCTCAGCAGGCAGGGCATAGGAGGGCTGTGAGGTTCTGGGGAGTCCCCAGCTGCAATTCCCCTACCCTATCCCCAGGACAGCCCGCGCCTCGGCTGGCCCCGTGTTCAAGGGCGTCTGTAAGCAGTTCTCGCGCTCACAGGGTCATGGCTTCATCACCCCTGAGAATGGGTCTGAGGACATCTTTGTGCATGTGTCTGAGTGAGTGCCCCCACCTCCTCGTCCTTGGCTGGGCCCCTGCCTGTGTCCCTCACCTTAAACAATGCCTCTCCAGGCCTCTCCCTTCACTGCCTGAGGCCTGTCCTCCTGGCATCTGTCTCCTCTCAGTAAGGGGCTGCGGGTGCGTGGGAGGAGGGGGACTGGGCCAGGTGAGAAGCGGGCGCTCAAACCAAGCTTGGGAGCCTGCTCCACGGGGCCTAAGAGGGCCAGTCCAGCCCCTGGGCCTTTCAGCCTAGAAGGGGCCTCAGGAAGACAGGACAGGAGGTAGGTGGCCTGGGTCTAGGACTGGCCCCACCCCTGTGCCAGGGATGACCTGGGTAGGCACCGAGCTGCCCCAAGCCTCGGGGGACCTCACTGCACCCTTTCACACTTCACTTAATCCCAAACACCATAGGGAAGCAGGTGCTGTCAATAATTCCCCTTTCATAGTGAGCTGAGGCCAGGCTGCAGGGGGCATCTGGGGAGTGGGGGCTCCTGGGCTGACCCCCTGTCCCTCCCACCAGCATCGAGGGGGAGTACGTGCCCGTGGAAGGTGATGAGGTGACGTACAAGATGTGCCCCATCCCGCCCAAGAACCAGAAGTTCCAGGCCGTGGAGGTGGTCCTCACCCAGCTGGCCCCCCACACGCCCCACGAGACGTGGTCTGGTCAGGTGGTGGGCTCCTAGGCGGGGGGCTCAGGTGCCAGCTGACTGGGCGGCGGGAGCCAAGCAGGGTGGACGGGCAGCAGCCAGCCCGCACCCCCACTGCACCGGGCAGCCGCTGCGTGCACCTCTGTCTGTCTGTCTGTGCTTGTGGCCGTAAGTGTGTGCCTCTACCCACCCCCGTGACCTGTGACTGTGAGCTGGCCAGGCACTGGACTGGGGGGAGGTCACTAGGCCTACCTCTCTGCTTGTCTGCTGTCCCTCCCTCACTTCCCTCCACACACACACAGGACCCTCCCATCCTCCTGCCACCTGTCCACTTACTCAGCCTCCGAGAGCCTGCGTCAGGCTGGGGCTGGGGCTGGGGGGAAACCAGCAGAGCCGTCTGCACAGTGGTAGTCCCTCTGCCTCTTGTCTCCTTGCCCTATTGGGCCCCAGGCTCTGACCCGGGGGGCAGGCTGCTGTATTGCTCATGTCCCCATCCCTGTGGCCTGCACCCTTCCTCTTAGAAGCCAGGCCAGCGAGCACACTGGGGAAGCCTCCTGGCTCCTGGCACTGGGTGGAAAAAAAAAAACAACATTGCAGCCCAGGCCTGCCTTCCCACATTCCCCTCCCCCAGCACACTGGAGGCAGGAACAAGGGGCCTGAGGGGGGAAGGAGGTTTTGAGGTTCCCGTTTCCCCAGCACCTCCTCTTTGGCCTGGGAGTGGTTCTGTGAACCTCCAACTAAGACAACGTTCACTCACCTTGGCTGCTGCAGGTGAGGTCTAGGGGCCTGCCTCCCTCCGCTTGAATGGAACCACCTCCCTGCCCTGACTCACAAGCCCCCTGAGGCTCTGCCCCGGGCACATTAAACATTTGCACCTCCCCCTGAACCCCCTCACCACACTCCAACCCAGCGAGCACTTGAGAAGGGGGAAGAAACGGGGTCACCAGTTCAAAGGGGGGCCCGCCAGGGACGGTGACCCTCAGGAGGCCCAGGATGAGGAAGCCAATGATTGGGAGCATCCCGGCCCTGCAGGTGCCCCAAGACCCAAGGACAGAGATCAATGGGATAGCTACGTCCCACCCCTGCCTCCACACCAGTCCACACAGGCTGCAGGCCCAGAGCTACTGAGATGTGCTGGCCAGCCCCCAACACTGAGAAAGGCCCAGCCCGTCTGACACCCTACTCTGAGCTGGGGCTACAGTGGGCAAGGGTGGAATGGTCTCCCGGAAGAAGCAAGGCTCCTTGGCCCCGTTGGCAGAAGCCATATTGGTGCAGGTTAACTCCTGGGGCCGCCCAAGCCTTCCCTCTCGGGAGCAGGCCTCCTTTTTCCCATGTGGTGGCATCAGGGCCTGGATAGGCAGCTGCTCTCGCCCCACCCCCAAAACGTCCAGTCAGAAACCCTCCCCACCCACCCGGACTCCCTCACCCTTTCTAACATTGGCAATAAACCCTCAACTGTGACTCACCCTGACCCCCAGCTGCCTGTCTGTCTGGGCCCCTGGGGAAGGGGCTGGGGGAGACCCCGTGCACCCAGCTCTGTGGAGGCTCTGGCTTCCTGGGTGGCCTGGGCAAGTCCCTGGCCTCTGCAAAGTGATGGCCATACAGCCCCTGTGACTGGCCCATTACTGGCAAAGATATCCTCACGCCGTATCATGTTCTGGAAACTTTAATATTTGTGACATAAAGTTTTCTACACAGGTGTCACCCCTACTGCATGGTACCACTGGGGCAGGCAGGGTGGGCTCTCTCTCGTACCCACACTCACACACACCTTCCTCCTAGCACAGACAGAAACATGTTCTGTTCACGCAGTGCTGTGGCCTGGGCCCTTGGGGTCGAGGACGGGGACACTCTGTCCTGGGCAAGGCTGGGCCCTGGGAGCAAGAGACAGTCCTGCTGAGAGCTGACCAGCTGTGGACACTGCCCACACAGACCCTGGCCTGTCCCTGTCAGCCCCACACCGGGGCCAGGGTTTCTCTTCAGCCTGGGCTGAGGGCTCTAAGTTGCAAGATGGGCAGGTGCAGCCCTGGTCACGCCTCGTGGGCTGTCTCTGGGAAGAAGATCTCACGGCATCGTTGCACCGTGTCCTGTGGGGAGACCACGCTGTGCCCGACGGTCCGGGGGTCCGCATAGATCTCAAAGTCGTTCCCACCCTACACACAGAAGAAGGGCAAGAAGACCCGGTGTGTGGGGGTGTGGAGCCTGAGGAGGTACCCAGGGCTGGAGCTTAGCAGCCCGCCTGACGTGGGGTCCCTCCTCACGCAGGCTTCTAAGGGCTGCCCCCTCCCCTGGGAACCACCGCTTCATCCTCACCAGGCTGTTACAAGTTGCTCGGTGACATGGGGCAGTGTCCAGCCCTCCTCAGACCCAGCTTTCCAATCTATGTAATGGGGCTAGTGATACTCCCAGAACTGTGCTGGCCTTGACTTCGGATAATCTGGGGCGGGGGGGACTGAGCTGGGCCACACTCACAGGACTAGTCTCGTTCCCAAAAAAGTGGATGGTGTCGAAGCTGTCCTGGTCCAGGGCGTCCAGGCAACAGCGCTTGTCCCAGCCCTCAGGGAAGACGTCGAAGCTGATCATTCCTCCTGGGGGAGCAGATAAGGCCGGCAGAGGGGCGCCTGGTGAGGTGACCTGAACCCGGGCCCCTGTTCACTGGTTTGCTCAACTACCCCAAGTGCCCACTTTGTGCTGGGCACAGGGGCACGACAGCCCGGGACCCTCACCTTCACGGAAGCTATGACCCAGATGGAGAATAGATGGCCAACAGACAAGAGCCCTGGAGCCTGTAAGTGCACTTCATTGGGGTGGAAGGCCCCCCAGCCCATGGGGCAGGAAAAGACCTAAGGAGGTGACCCGAGGCAGCCATGAGAATGGCTGGGATTGGAGTTCCCGGGTTGAGGACAGGAAGAGTCCCCACGGCAGGGTGTGGATGACCCCAAAGCAGAAGAGGTGGCCCTAGGGTCTAGGGGGGGCCTCTGGAGGGCCTGGCGACAACGTGACTGATTTCTGTTAAGGCTCTTCCTGTCCACAGGGAAATGGGCTATAGGGGAGGAACTGAAGGCACCTATACTAGTGTCAGCTGGGGCTGGAGCAGGCTTCAAGTGGAGTGAGCAGCAGTCAGATTCCAGACCCCCTGGGACCCACTAGGAGACTGGTTTGGGAACAGCAAGGGAAAGCTGGGGACGGGGGGCAGGGGTGCCCCCGATGTTGGCTGGAGCAGCTGGGTGGACAGTGGGCATTTGTCACCGTACTTGGGCAGGCACATTGAATGCCAGCCTGCTTCAGACTCCCAGCCCTGAGGAGTGGGAGAGGCTGCAGCCTGGCCTTGGGAGGAGGGCAGGCCCGTGGGCTCCTGTGCCAGGCCCCTCAGACCCTCTGTGGGCTGACGTACCTCGCGAGAACCTCAGCCCTTTGCCAGCAAACTCCGTTTTCAGGGCTTCCACAAACTTCTCCCGGATTTTCTCCTTCTGCGGGCGAGGAGGAAGCAGACTGAGGCCAAGGGCCCCGTGCTGGGCCCCAGGCTGGTGTGAGGTCAGGGAGTCTTCCAGGTGGACCTCATGACCTCCAGTTTACAGGTGAGGAAACTGAGGCTAAGAGGGGATGTGCCGGTTTAAGGTCACTCAGCTGTGGTGGCAGAGCCAGGGCCAATGGGGGAGTGGACATAGAAGGAAGGTCCCAGGGACAGGACCATCTGAGTCCCCAGTCAGCGTCCCCCTGAGGGCAGGGTTCAGCCCTATCAGTTCAGCTGTGTCCACACAGCCAACTGTAGCCCACACACCAGACATGAACACGAGGTACCAAGAGCCCAGGTGGAGCTGTGAGTAGTGGCCGTGGGGATGTAAGCATCGACAGCACCAACTATGGGGTGACCTGCATTTGCTAAGGTATCCAGGAACCCCAGGATGGTCCATCCCACCTCTTGGCCCCCAGCAGGACCTGGGAACACTGGCAGTGCATGCGAGGTGCCCTCTGGGAAGCAGCCATTGTCAGGCAGGGAGAGCAGCCCCACACGGGCCCCAGCTCTGATGGGGTGTCTTGGCTGGTGCACTGATGGGGGGCAGGGCCAAAGGTGAGCTGCTCACTCTGTGCAGGAACCAGGCAGCTAAGGTCTGGAGGAAGGAGCCTCCCACGTGGCCCAAGCAGCAGTGGGAGCTCTGTAGGACATTCGGTCATGCTGCAAGGTTCGGACGCATCCTGGAGGCCAGGTGCCTCTGAGAGTTTTAGCCCCGTGGAGTGGAGGAACCAGTCCTGCATTTCAGCTGGAGCCAGGAAGGACGGGAGCGGACAGGGAGGCAGGTGCTGGCCAACAGTGTGGGCCTGAGAAGTGACCCAAGCTGAGCTGTCAAGCCAGGCAGCCTGGCGCCAGGCCCAGCTGCCATATCCTGGCTGGCTGGCTGGGAAAGTCATCTGACCTCTCTGAAGTTCAAGCAGGAGGCAATGATCCTGCCTGCTCCCTCTAGGGGAGGGGCCAAGGTGAGAGAGATGAGTCCCCTGCCAGCCTTGGTCTTCCCTTCCTGCCAAAGAGTGGGCCTGAGGCAGCTCTAGGGACCCGGAGTTAGAGCAAAGCGTGGCCTAAGTTCTGAGTAAATCTTTCCATGTGACCAGGGTGGCTGCACCTCCTCTGTCCACAGAAGCAGGCTGGTCACTAGACAGTCCGAGTGCCAAGTTGGGCCGTGGTAGGTCCAATGACCTCACGCTGGTCACTTAGCCTCTGGCCTCAGTGTCTTCATCCAAGAAGGGGCTACTTGTCCCTTCCCCGGGGTCTCGAAGGACTGCAGGAAAGTCAGGCACTGGCTGGACTGGTGGGAGGCACACAGGAGGAAGTCTAGAATGTTCCTTTCCCCCTCCAGCACCAGAAGGGGACAAGTAAGAGCCAGAGGACAAGTGAAGGCAATGGGGACTGTGGGGAGCCGTCGTGTGAGCCACTTAGACGCTCAGCCTCACCCGTCCACATGACAGCCCTAAGATGAGAACTACACTGTATCCCCATTTTACAGATGAGAAAATGGAGGCACTTGTCCCAGGTCACTCAGTAAATGAGAGGTAGATCTGGGCTTGGACACCTAGCTGGCCTGAGAAGGGCCATCTCTCACCGTGTGTGTGGTGTGTGTGTGTGTTTAGGAAGAGGGGGCTTTCTGCCAGTGCCAAGCTCATAGACTCCAATGGGAAGAAGAAAAGGCTCTGAGCCTCAGGGCATGGGGTGGGATGGGAGCCAGTGAGCTTAGAGTCTCAGCTGCAGTCCACCTGCCATCCCCCCCACCCTCTGGGAGGAACCAGAGGCAGTGTGTGAGCCCAAGTAAATCACTTCCCCTCTTTTGGCCTCAGTTTCCTCATTCGTAAAATAGGGGTCACACCATCGTTTCATTCATTCAAAACATATTTCTTGAACGCTGAGTACTTACTACATGCCTGGTACTGAGCTAGACAGCAGAATAAGCCACTCGTCCCTGCCCCTTTAATAGAGCTTACCATTGGGCGTGGAGTGGGGCAGGAGAAAGACAATAGAAAATGAAAAAAAAGTCACTGATGTGGTTGGTGTGTGAGTGAATCAGAACGCACGCCCAACCGACCCATCTCACTGATGGGAAAATCGGTCCCACAGGCCTACGGTGGCATAGGTGGTGGCACCTTGTCCAGCTCGGAGAACTCAATGCGCTCCTCCAGGGTGCAGCTGCGGCCAATGGGGGAGACGTTCAGCATGCCATTCCGGAACTCAATGAAGGTTCCACTGGTGATGGTAGGATGGGGGAGGAGGAGGGAGCCAGAGAGAAGGAAAAGGGCCCTGAATTCGAATCCAGACCTATCTGGACTTCAAGCGGTCAGGGCCCCACCCCTCTCCTCCCTCAGGCCCCAGGCCCCAGAGTTCCGAGGCGGGGTGGAGCCAGGCGAGGCGGGGCGGGGCGGAGCCAGGGGAGATGGGGCGGAGCCAGGGGAGGCGGGGCGGAACCAGGCTGTTGAGAGTGGCTCACCGCTTCTTGGGAAGTCTAAGCAGGGCCATGTAGTTCAGGCAGAAGTTGATCAAGTCCTGCAGCAGCTCCTCCCCCAGGTGGTTCTGGATGGTCTGGCGAGGAACGCAGGTGAGTAGGTAGGGCTGCCTGACCTGACCGAGCCCAGGACAGCACTGCACGAGGAAGGGTAGCAGCAGAACCCAGGACCCAGAGGGCACCCTCCGACTTTCCCGACCTGGGGAGAGGTGAGTGTCCTGCTGGGGCCCTGTGGCTCTCCTGTGGAACACTGACCTGCTTGGAGAGCAGCCGTCCCTGTTTATATTGAACCGTCCCGTTCTCAGCAAACACGTAATCAAACTTCTCGATGACTTCAGGGGAGAAAGACAGTGAGTGAGACCAGATCTGACTGGTACGCCCCCCCCCAAAAAAAAACCTCAAACTGGTCAATTCTGACTCAAAGCAACTCCCTTTGGGTTTCCAAGGCAGTAAATCTTTGTAGAAGTAGATTGCCCAGTCTTCCTTCCAAGAAGTGGCTGGTGGGTTTGAACCGCCAGCCTTGTGGTTAGCAGTCAGATGCGTTAGGCACTACACCACTAGACCTCCTTAGTTGTCACTGAGTTGATTCCAACTAGTGGAGATCCCATGTGTCCAGAGCAGACCTGCTCCGTAGGGCTGTCTTAGCTATTACAACCTTCTGGTTTGCAGTCAAGCCCTTAACCATTTGCCCTGTCCAACCAGTACCCCGGGGCCCAGTGAAGAGGAGAGGTGAAGCTCACACACCTTGGCTTGGCCTCCGTGCCCACTTGCTGCATCCTGACCTGCTCCCCCAGCCTCCCCTCCCTCTGCAGCTTTGTTTTCTCCACACAAGCCAGTCACACCTCCCGGACTTTGTTCATGCATGTCCTTCTGTCTGGAATGCCCTCCCTGGGGCCTCCCTTCCAGTCATCCTCCAAAGTCCAGCTCCCTCCTCTGGAAGCTCTCCTGCACTTCCCAGCAGAGGGCGCCATTTCCCACTCTGTGCTCCCACAGAGCCTCCCACGGAGGTGTCCAGGGGCTTCTGTAGTCAGTGTTCTGAAGGCTGGCGGGGGTGGCGTGGTAGAGCCATCTGTGACTGTGGCTGCCTCCAAGTGGCTGCAGGGGGCATGAGGGCACACAGGGCACACAGCCATAGGTGGTGTGGATGGGAAGTGCTCCCTGGGACTATGGTGGGAGGTGGAAATGGACATATGGACGGATAGGGATATCGTTTTGGACTCGTGGTGGAGTGAACAAGGGTTGTGGAAAAAAGGAAAAACTTGAGGAAGTTTCTCATTTGAGGAACTGAAGGCACCGACTCGACTGAGCTGAGACCAGGCACTCTGGAGTCCAATCCACTTACTTCCTGGGTGACTTCCAAGCCCCCCTGTATTAAATGGGATAGCTGTGCCCTTCCGAAAGCATGGTGAGAGAGTTTAAATGAAAGTGAATGAACAGATGGTCATCTTTCAATGAACGGTGGCCATTCTTGCTGGTTCCCATTTTAAAGATGAGGAAATCAAGACCCCGCAGGAATAAGAAGGGGGCATCTACCCTCAAGAAGAAAGCCAAGAGTGGATACCACACAAGTCCGGGATATTGCCGGCTTTGTGGCCTCCTGTCCCTGGAGCCTAGCACCACGCCTGGCACCTGGGAGGGGGTCATTCAGTATCTGAGGGAGGGAGACTGACCCCGTCCACACCCTCTGCTTTGCAGAAGCAGGACTGGGTCTTTGAAGGCATGTTGGTCCAGGGATGCCTTGAGCTCCCCCGTGGCTCTGCCACAACTCGGCTGTGGCTCTGGCCCACTCTTACCTTCGTCCCCCTCACCCAGCTGCTCGGCAATCTTGGAGTAGTCGGAGCCGCCCACCACACCAATCTGTACCCGACTCCGCAGCTTCTGTAGGAAGGCAGCCACCTCTGGGTCAATTTTCTGGGGGTCGGGGGACACAAGATTCCAGGGGTGAGCACTTCCAGGACCTCCACTTGGCCCTCAGAATCCAGGGAGCCATGTTCTGCTTGGACTAGAGGCAGTGCAAGGTTTAGAATCCAGACCTCGGGATTGGATGCACCCAGGTTCAAACACTGGCTTAACACCCTCACGAGCAGATGACCTCGAGCAAACAGCCTAGCCTTCCTGGCCCTTCATTTTCTCATCTATAAAATGAGGAACATAGTAGTAACCACCTGGTGGAGGGGTCACAGTTAGGATGAAATGAGATAATGCATTCAAAGTGGTTGGAAAGAAACAAGCAATTAACCAGAGTAAGCTAAAAACTACCCACAGTACCACAAACTGACAGAAGAAATAAACAAGACCGAAGAAGAATTGACACCTTTGAATTACGGTGTTGGCAAAGAGTATTAAATATACCACGGACTGTCCAGTTGATGCTTTTGAGTTGTGGTGTTGGAGAAAAATGCTAAGAGTACCATGGTCTGCTAAAAAGACTAACAAATCTGTCCTGGAAGAAATGCAGCCAGAATGCCCCTTGGAAGCCAGAATGGCCAGCCTTCGTCTCACCTACTTTGGTCATGTGGTCAGAAGGGACCATTCCCTGGAGAAAGATATCATGCCTGGTAAAGTGGAGGGTCAGAGAAAAAGGGAAGGCCCTCAATGAGATGGACTGACACAGTGGCCAGGATTGTGAGACTGGCACAGGGTAGTGTTTGGTTCTGCTGTGCACAGGGTGACTATGAGCTGGAGATGACTTGACACCTCGCAACAGCCACTGGAATGAACAAATCTATCCTGGAGGAAGTGCAGGCAGAACGCTCCCTAGGGCCATCTCACATATTCCAGACAGTGAGAAGGCACCAAAGGGGCAGCGTTTGCCCAAAACAAAGTTACGAAGGCGGAAAGGGGCAGGAAAGCTGGGCAAACGGAAACAGGGCACCCAAAATGGAAACGGAGAGAATGCTGACACATTGTGCGGGTTGCAACCAATGTCACAGAACAATCTGTAGAAACTGCTGATGGGAACTAATTGGCTTGGTAAACTTTCCCCTGGGAGCTCTGGTAGCATAGTGCCTAAGGCACTTGACTGCTAACCAGAAGGCTGGCGGTTCAAACCCACCAGCCACTCCTCAGAAGGAAGGTTGGGCAATCTGCTTCCGTAGTGATACTGCCTCGGATACCGCCTCGCCTCGGAGACCCAAGGAGGGGTCGCTATGAGTCGGGGCCGACTCGACGGCAAATAACAACAACAACAACAACAAATTTTCCCCTAAACCACAATAAAATATTTTTTATAAAATGAAAGATCGGAAAAATAAAGAAAGTGGTATTATAAACAATGCTTGATATTTCCTGTGGGCAAAGAAAGATCCAAGTCTAGAAGAAAGCCCCATGACGACACCACTGATGCTGAGCAAGGGCTGGGCCTGGCCTTGTGGCATCGTCGGAGGGACTTTAGCCTCTTCTGTTATGTTTTCTTTCTTAACAAGGAGAACGTGCTCATGAATACATGTATAATTAAAAATTAACTTTAAAAAAATCCCTAAGCACAGGGCCAGCCCCGGAACAGAGTTAACACTCTCTTTTAGTTCAGACCATTGTCACTGGAGCAAAGGTTCAGAGAGAGGGGCGGCTGTGGGCAGTCCTGTAGCCCTCGGTCCACCTCTGCGGTCACCCTCTCTGTCTCTGGGGCCTGGGGACCTGGGACCTGTTAGAGGGCAGGACCACTCTGATTCCTCCCTGAGTGCCCAGGTCAATCTCCACAGCTGAGGTGGGAGCTGGGGCGTGGGGGATCTGGTCCCCATCATTCATGCCAGGTAGCACTCAGGTTGAGACTAAGTAACCATCATCCCCCAAACTGAGGGTGGAGAGAGGCCTGGTCATCCACCATCTATCTGGCTGGAGAGGGTGGGTCTGAGATCCAAAAGGAGAAAAACAGCGTGAAGCAGAGGCGGGAGGCTCAAAAGGGTGAGATGCCTTCAGAACTCCCACCTTACCTGCCCCTCAAGTGTCCTCACTGAGATCAGATTTGGCCTGAGCCTTTCACCTCCAATGGGCGGAGCCCACGAATTCCTCCCAGATCGCCAGGAGCTATCCCTCCTGCTAGACTGGCTGTGGGGATAAGGTGGGAAAGGGCCGGGAAAAGCTTGAGGTGGGATGGTTCCGAGACTCCCTGCCCCCCATCGGATGGGGACTCTGACGCTCGGGTGCGTGCCCAGCCCTGCCTGCAACCCCGCCTTCCGATGCCAGCTTCGGGCTACCGGTGTGTCCTAGGGCTGAAACGGGATGGGAAGCACCTCTGGGAAAGAGGGGGCGTCTCGGGGCCAGGCCTCGGCGTATGGAAGCCTCTCAGAGCAAAGGGAGCCTGGTGCCCGCACGCAGCCGCCCTCTTCCAGAACCCAATTCAGCTCCGCTGCAGAACGTGGGCGCGGCCGCTCAGGGAGCTGGGGTGTAGGGGGTCTGGTCGCCATCCCTCGTGCCCGGATACTGGAGTGTCAGGGCCTGGGTACCGTGCATCCCACATTTGGCCTCGGGGTGTCCGGGGTCACGCCGCTGCAGGCCTCCACCCACATTCGGCCTGGGAGTGCCCGCGTGTCACTATCAGCGGGAGCTTCCGAACGTCAAGACCCTACCTGGCGAGCCGGCGTGAGCGTCCCGTCCACGTCAAACAAGCAGAGGACACGCTCCTTCCTGCGGGCGCCCTCGGCGGTAACCGCCATCCCTGCAGCTCCGCGCGCCTGGCGAAATCGCGGGTTGCAGCTGCCCCAGCCAGAAGAGGAGGAAGGGCGAGGCGGGGCTTTGGGGGCGGAGCCTTATAGAGCGGGGACAGAAGTCTGAGTCTGATTGGGACAGACGATGAGAGGGCGTGGCCAGGGTGTGCTCTCGGCGGGCGAGGGCTTGCCCCTGAAGGAGCAGGGGCGGGGTCTGAGTCGACTTGGAATATTGACTCTGATTGCACCAGGCGGAGAAGGGGCGTGGCATGCGGCGGGGCGGAACCCTGCAGATTCCGTAGAATTGGTCTATTCTAGACGAAGGCGGGGTCTGGACTTGGGTCCAGCGGGAAGGGAGGGAGTGAAACCGGAAGAGAGGGGCGGGGCTAGAGTTAGAGCCCGGCAGGATGAGTCAACTACATCTGGCGGTTGAAAGGGCTAGTCTGAGTCCCGGCCTCCAACCCGCAGTGCAGTGCCCGGCGAGGCGAGGGCGGGACTCAGAAAGCCTCGACTGCCCGCGACTCTCCTAACCTGCCATCATCACTCCATGACTCATCCCCTCGGGTCTAATTTCTTTGCCCTGTTGTTAGGTGCCTTCGTCTGTTCCAACTCATAGCTCCGTATGTACAACAGAACGAAAACACTGGCTGGTCCTGCACCATCCTAACAATCGTTACTATTTGAACACATCGCTGTAGCCGCTGTGTCAATCCATCTGATTGAGTGAGGGTCTTTCTCTTTTTGGGTGACCAAGCATGATGTCCTTCTCCAGGGACTTGTCCCATCTGATTACATGACCAAAGTACTGGCTACAACTCTAGCCATCTCGCTTCTAAGGAGCATTATGGCTGTATTTCCAAGACAGATCTGTTCGTTCTTCTCACAGTCCATGGTATATTCAATATTCTTTGCCAAGAAGCTCTTTGCCAATACCATAGTTCAAATACATTAATTTTTCTAGGGTCTTCCTTATCCATTGTCTAACTTTCACATGCATGAGGTGACTGAAAATATCATGGCTTAGGTCAGGTGTGCCTTCGTCTTCAAAGCGATGTCTTTGCTCTTTAACACATTAAAGAGGTTTTTTTTTTTGCAGGAGATTTGCCCATTGCAATGTGTCGTTTCATTTTTTGACTGCTACTTCCATGGGCATTGGGAGCTCTGGTGGCATAGTGCCTAAGTCATTTGACTGCTAACCAGAAGGCTGGAGGTTCAAATCCACCAGCCACTCCTTGGAAGGAAGGTTGGGCAATCTACTTCTGTAGTGACACTGCCTTGGAAACCCAAGGAGGGGTTGCTATGAGTCTGATCTGACTCTACGGTAGTGTGTTCCATGGGCGTTGATTGTGGATCCAAGTAAAATGAAATCCTTGATGTTTTCATTCTCTAGTGCTGCTGTAACAGAAATACCACAAGCAAATGGCTTAACAAACAGGACTTTATTCTCTTATGGTGTAGGAAGCTAGAAGTCCAAATTCAGAGTGCCCCTAGACCTTGGGCTTCAGCTCTGCCTCTTATTCCAGGCCCACTGGAGACAGAGGCTTCTTCTAACTCAGGGAGCTGCAGCCCGCTGAGGCTGACAAACCCAAGATCCACAGGTAAAATGACACAGTCCCAAGATTGGCAGGCAACACGTTAGACCACTAGTTCAAGTCCAGGAACAATCTCAAGATTGGCAGGCAATGCTGCAGGCTACTGGTTCAAGTCCAGGAACTGGAGATGAAGACTCGGCCAATACAGGATCCAAATGTGCCGAAAGCTGGAGCCCTTTCTCAAAGTTTCTCCATATATACTGGAAGCAGACCACATCCCAAAGGCAACTACTTAGCTGCTCACGGCAGATTCCACCAGGGAGGTGATTACAATCTCATCACGGGGAGTAACTGCATCCAGCCACTCGGAACCAGGGCCCAGTCAAGTCGACGCCCAACGTTCACTACCACACTTGGTAATTTCAATCTTTTCTCCTTTATCCTGATGTTCCTTATTGGTCCAGTTGTGAGGATTTTTGTTTTCTTTAGGTTGAGGTGTAATCCAAAATGAAAACTGTAGTCTTTGATTTTCATCAGTAAGTTCTTGAAGTCCTCTTCTCTTTCAGCAAGATTGGTTCGTCTGCATATTGCAGGTTGTTAATGAGTCTTCCTCCAATCCTGGTGCTGAGTTCTTCTTCATGTAGTCCAGCTACTTGGATTATTTGCTTAGCAGACATATTGAATAACTATATGGTGAAAGGATACAACCCCAATACACACCTTTCCTGATTTTAAATCAGAAAATATCCTTCCTTATTCTGTCTGAACAACTGCCTCTTGATCTGTGTACAAGTTTTCATGAGTACAATTAAGTGTTCTTGAGTTCCCATTGTTTGCAATGTTATCCATAATTTGTTATGATCCACACAGTAGAATGCCTTTGCATAGCCAATAAAACACAGGTAAACATCTTTCTGGTATTCTTTGCTTTCAGCCAAGATCCATCTGACATTAGCAATGATATCCCTCATTCCACAGCCTTTTCTGAATCCTGTTTGAATTTCTGGGAGTTCCCTGATGTACTGCTGCAACTTTTTTTTTTTTTAATTATTATAAGCAATGATATTAATATTGTTCAATAATTTCCGCATTCTTTTGGGTTGTCTTTCTTTGGAATGGGCAAATATATGGATCTCTTCCAATTGGTTGGCTGGGCAGCTGTCTTCCAAATTTCTTGCCATAGACAAATAAGCTATCCCTGTGTTGCATCCATTGGTTGAAATATCTCAGTTGGTCATCTGTCAATTCCTAGAGCCTTTTATTTGGCCAATGCCTTCAGTGCATCTTCAACTTCTTTCTTCAATACCATTGGATCTTGATCATATGCTACCTCCTGAAATGGTCAAACTTCCAACTGTTCTTTCTGGTGCAATGAACAACTGTGTATTCCTTCTGTCTTGTTTTGATGCTTCCTGCATCGTTCGATATTTTCTTTATAGAATTCTTCAATATTGCAACTCGAAGCTTGAATTTGTTCTTCAGTTCTATCAGCTTGTGAAATGCAAAGTGTGTTCTTCCCTTTTGGTTTTCTATTCCAGGTCTTTGCACATTTCATTACTACACTTTGGTTAATCTTCTCAAGTTGCACTTTGAAATCTTTGCCCTAGTTTGCATTAAGAAATCCCTTAATCGTCTTTACTCAGCCCTTGGATTTTGCCAGTGGCCTTCCCTGACCCTTACTCTTACTGTCATTATTTTCATCCTGTAAGGCCCAGCTCAGGGAACACCAGCTTCAGGAAACCTCCCAAGATGCCTCTGTTCATAACTATTTAAGCATCATGTTGACTGGAGTCAGCTCTGGGCTGACATCTCAGCTCCATCACTTTGGATGAACTATCTCACCTCTCTGAGGCTTTGCATCTGCATCTGTAAAACAGATAGCAAGAAACCACCTCCTCTGCAGATGCTAATAAATATGTACATGAGCCCCCACATGACCTGGCACACAATAGGCCCCCCACCAAAGGAAACTTAGCATCAACGTGATTGACGCTGTCACCAACTAAACTGTTACTGCAGGTGCCAAAAGCCTTAAAATTGTGTGGAGCCTTTGAGCACTTTTAGAGATCTGTCCTGTGGACATAAAGAGGTGCACAAACATTTTGTCCATGAAATGCTCAGGACAGCATCGTTCCCAACTTGGATAAATAGAAAAAGAACAAAAACAAAGGATTGGTTAATGAACTGAGTAATAGGATCTGCACTGTAGAATATTTAACACGAAAAAGGCATGATCCCATTTCTGCGCTGGAAAGGTGGTATGGTGGTTATGTTTGTGTGTCAACTTGGCTGGGCCTGGTTGAGTGGCTGGGCAGCTTGTGGGAGTTATTCCCCATGATGAGACTGGCAATCAACTCCATGGTGGGATCTACCACAAGCAGCTGAGTAGCTGCCTTTGG